TTTCTTGCAGTTTGAAATGGCGTAGCTGTTATTTACGCAGAGCAAAATACGCAAAACCCTCTTAGTTGAAGGACAAATGACAGTAAGGACTGATAGATTTCGTGACAGAACGAAATGATGACAGGATGAATGATTGTATCAAAATAAAAGGAACATGTATAAAAAAAATTTTAATGTTGAAATTCGCGGGATCTTTGAAAATAAACTCGGACACATATAAACCAAATGAGTACATGGGTCGATTAGATTGAAGAAGGGAATTTACAAGTCATTCAGTCGATAGCCTTTTGATTCTAATCTACCATTCTACTATGGACGGAGAATTTCAGTCAGTAGTTTTGTTTTTGAAGGTCTAAATTAAATCAATTTAAGAAATATCAAGTCACACTCACAGGTGATTTCCAGTGTGTCGTTTGTGGGCTTATGACCGAGGAGTATTGTGGCCAATAAACGAGATGGAAAGCTGAACAGGACCAAAAGCACAGCGGCGAATAGCGAGTAATGAACTCTCATGCTGAAACTCAATGTGTCCATTTACCTTTTGAAATTCTTTTATATGCTTCGTGATACGTTGTAATTGCAGGAATAATTGCCGTGGAAAAAGCTGGCTGAAACACTGAGAAAATTAGCCTTGAATGGAACACACCTGAATATTTTCCTCCATTCCGTCCAAGCTGTCCCTGTTGTACGCACTCGGTAGCTACGCGAAAAGTGATCTTTAATGTTTGATATTGTTTACAGATGTGTCCGAAATCTAAGAACAACATATTTTGTCATAATTAATTAACCAAAATTTATGCGAAGAATTTATACCAAGCTGAAATTCGTTATCCGAATTATTGTTCGCACAGGGCTGTGGAATTTCACCGGACGCGGTACGGCTAACGAAGCCCATGTTATCCTTACTGGTAAACTTCCCGAGAATATCAGCCAGTCAGGTAGGTAAACATTTTATTGTACAATTGAACAGTCGACAAATTTTATTATTCGATAGACAATACCTAGAGATGGATGGACTTTTAACAGAATAGTCCATGGAACAGCATGCATTCAGTCAACGTAGCGACGTGGAATCTGGAATAAATGCACAGTTACAGTGATCGGTTATCGATTTTTACTGGAGCGGTGAATTGCATATGTTTGTAAACATGACATTCGGAACTTAGTTCGCTGAACGATTCGAATACGTATTTTATCTCATTTTGTTCAGAAGTTTCCTGAGTTTGAAGGATTACACTTGCCAATGATCCGCATTCGGTCAAGATCTACTGGTCAATTGCTATCCCTTGTCACATGGGCTTTTAATAAGAATCGATAGGCACATGTATTGCTTCAGTGAAAAATCATTCAATGATTACATTTTGCAACCATGTATGATCTAAAAGTACACTGAATAATAGTTAAGGATCAGTGTTGAACGAAGAGAGGAGCCGAAATAAAGACTGAAATTGAATAAATAAACAGTCATGTGAATTTTTCAGATGATCATAAGCAGATGGAGTCACGTTCATGTTTTTTTATCAAGCTTTTATGTTGCTCGCGTAGCCTGCTCAAAACCGTAACACCTGCTTGTGATTCGTTAACGTTCTTATCACGTTTCATCATTCGACAGACGGTTCGTCAAATTTAGAATTCATTCCATTTGGTGGCTTGGTGATTAAAATAATTTGTGTGAATTTTAAATTCCCGGGGTACTGAAACTCGTTCGAGCGATAGCAACCGAATGTCAAGTCGTTACTTGACGTGAAAATGTTAGACTACTGAAATACATGCACCCAATACATTAGTATTTACTACACAATTTACTCCATTGGGTGTTATTAAATAAAATAGTTCTCGTTGCTACGGCTGTTGATGTTGGTGATAAGAACCTTTACGCATGTGGACCACACAGTGCTCTCGGTGTGCAGTATGAGATAGAAACAATTCCTAAACCAGTGATCCAAATTACAAGTCTCTGTTTCGAGCAAACCTCCGTTTTCACAAGGACGATTGCTTTTTTATCAGTCGTGGTGATGGAGCACTGAATTGCGTGTTTTAAATAATAAATCACCATCAGCCGTCGATTCATTCAGGTCAATGCTTTTAAAACAAGGGCGCCTTGTATCCTCATTTATAGTTCAAATTAGAACGGCAATTTTACAGGCTCTTTGACTGGCTGCACTGCACTAATCTATCTGTCCCTGACCGCTGCATTGGACATTTTAAACGGATTCGCCGTGTTTGCGTCTACCCAAAAAAGAATTATTTCCCAGTTAACAGCCAGTTCCTGCGTTCTGCTTTGTTTGTTCTTATGTGTGACTTCATTCCCATTGAATCAGGACGATAAAGCGCCCCGGCTGGATGACGACCAGTATTCAAATAATACCTAGAGCAAAGAATCGATCAAAATTTGTTCATCCGACCAAACTGACTTCTATGTTACATTTTCGTCTCGGTCGACGAAGTGGTGCAATATCTATTCAAGACTCCCCACTCATATAGGACGTTGGAGTTGAAGTTGTTCGCTTGGATTGCCTTCGTCAACATGGAATATGAACTGAACTTTTCACAATCGAAATACAAACTTCAAATCCGCCAAACAACTATTTGAACATGGAATGTGCTCACGAAAGGAAAAAAGAGGGAGCTTGTGTGGTGATCCTAGCCTACGGAATGAAGCCAGCCACAGAGCGACGTGTTACAGTTTCTGGACAATTGTGATGATTCAACCCTCCCAGATGACGCCAACCAAGTGCTTACGAGTTAGTTTCTGGACAACGAACCATAAGCGTGTCGTGCGGACCAATCGGAAGTCGTGCGGTCCAAATAAAGGCTGTATGACGTCAAGATTACTAACAGGCCGTTTTCGATACCCGTATAACCAATAAACTCTGTTATTAAATCTCAGCGGTTTTCCTCAATAAATGAACTGCTACTTAAGTGGTCTCGGTGACGAGAGATACCAGTGTGCAGGTGCTAGAGCGCTCCAGTTGTGTCCGTGATTTGTGATTCGTTATTCGTGATCAGTGCCTACTTTGACTACTACAGCTTGGTCACTTACATGAACGTCTCAGAGGTTGTATTAGTCCATTCTATGTATCGAACGGAACGTTGAAATTATGTCCAAATATATATTTATTACATCTTTAGAATAGATTAGTTACAAGTAATTACACAGCGTCTTCTGATTCTCAATCTGACATAAATTCTTTCCATGATTGATTTTTTATTTTTTTTTTTGCTAGAACACACCAGCAGTGAGCTAGATCTTCGTCTCTCCACTAGAGACTACAGTCATTCTTTAAGTTCAGCACCGCATTTGTGGAATTAGAGCACATATGGCATTATTTTTCAAACTATCCACCTGCCAGTTGCATAACAAATATTAATGAATTTTTGAACTTGCACAGTGATTTCTCTGGAGTTTAAGTTACCTTCCCACGAGTTAGGCTAAAAAGTTAAAAGCCCTTGAATAATTGTTGCACTGTATTGTGTATCTGTAATAGCTGTAATAGTTGTAGTAATACGCACGGAATTCGGAATGCAAGCCACGCAATATCAATCACAGGACCTGGATCAATAATCAACTATCACGCAATGGACCACAGAAGCAGAGGATCGTAATGGCACCGGTTCGCAATGTCCCACGACAACGAGACGCAACGGAAAGGCCACAGTAATGTTAG